GCGGCTGCTCAGCTCGGGCTGGACTCGAACTGCTGTTGCTCAGAGCTCAAACTCTTGAGCGAGCTCTTAACCAACTGAGCCACTCGGCCGGCCCGGGAACACATTTCTGAAAATTTTCCCACTGGGCTTCTTAAACTAGCCTAACTTATTGGGTCCCCTCAAAAAGACTATCCTTGGGGCCTCTCCAACTCTTCTGTAAAAATCACACCCAAAGGATGGTTTTCTTTTCTTTCTTTCTTTCTTTCTTTCTTTCTTTCTTTTTTTTTTTTTAGCTGAGCCATCCTGCCTTCTGTTGGCAGCTCAGCTCGGGAATCGAACCAGTGACTCTGTTGCTCAGAGCTTGCACTCTTGAGCAAGTTCTTAACTAACTGAGCCACTTGGCCAACCTCAAGGATGGTTTTCTTTAGTGCAGTTTGTCACTTGCTCTCATCTACTGCCTGAAGGAAATAATCCCCCTGTGTAATCTATTCCTAAGAGTATGTTTTCAACTCCAAAAGGGTAGGAAGTTGAGAACAAAACTGACATCCTTGGGCTTCACCAAGTTGGCCCACACAGATGTTTCTAGAATACCTACTATGTTCGGAGGTGACTAGTCTCTTCAGGGAGATTCCAGAGAAGTGGAAAACAGACCATCCCTTGTGAATCAAGCTCTTTTGTCTGTTGCCGTCTTCAAAGCTATTAGCATTGGTTCAGTGCCACCTTGTGGATGAAAAGAACACTGTCAGTTATGACTGCTGAGACATGATTCCCTTCTAGAGAGCGCTGGTTTTCACCTAAGTGCACATTAATGTTATTAAACTTCTTGCCTGTAAATTGCTTTTGTGTGGGTAGTTTTTAATTTCCCCCTAACTTTAAACCTCTGTTGAGAGGATGCTGACACACACGTAAGCAATCAATTATACTCTGGGAAGCACTTCTCTAGTTCAGTGACTTTCAAGTGTTTGTGATCATGACCTAAGGTAAGAAATACCGCTTGCACTGCAACCCAGTGATACATACCTCCCTACAAATATAGAAATATTTAGTACAAAAGTTTCATAAAACATTATTTGCTTGTATATAAACAGTAGTTTTTCTGTTATATTTAATTTTAAAATGCTAGTCAACCTCTATGATATTAAATTTATAACCCAATGGTTTTTTACTTGTGACCGAAAACCCTCGTCTTTTATAGAAGAGGAAGCTGAGGCCCAGAGGGAGGTGGCACTTGCTGAGGTCCTCTGATCTCCAGTGTAGTGGGGGTCCACCCGATCCCCTCAGGGTCTGCCTGCTCACTGTTTGTCAAGATCTCTGTGCTGTTGACGTGTCCCAGCTAAGCACTCAACCCCTTCCTGTTCTAGATGCGCCTGATGGAGGAAGAAATTCGGGACTACCAGAGAGCACAGGATGAAGCCCTCACAAAGAGGCAGCTTCTGGAGCAGACGCTGAAGGACCTGGAATACGAGCTGGAGGCCAAGAGTCATCTCAAAGACGACCGCAGCAGAGTCGTCAAGCAGATGGAGGTCTGTGGGCCGGGCCTGTGGCGAGCGAGTGTGGGACGTGAGGGAAGCAGCCTCTCCTAAATCTCAGCCTCTGGGAAGCCTTTGGTTTTTATTCTCTCGAACAGCCAAATGTTAGTAAGGTCATTCTTTGATTTGGCAATGATGCTGCTAGTTCATAGACTCATAGGACATCAGAGCCGGAAAGAATGATGGAAATATAACCTCAGTGTCTCATTATCTTGAAGAGGAAGCAAAACAGAGTCCCAGAGAGGTTAAGTGCTTTTACCTAAGGGCACATAAATAGTTCATTTTCTGTGTGCTGCTCTGAGTGGTGCTTCTAACTACAAAGGAGGCAAGACTCCTGCAGATCTAGAGAGAAGCTGAGGGGTGCCTTAAACCCAAACTGCCTAACTCCTGTGGGCACCCAGTACTGATTTACCACACCACATGCTCCATTCTTGTTTCTGGATTCTGGCCAGTTTTCCTTACAGATGACCCAGCTTTGCCAAATCAAGCAGCAAACTGTGGCTCGATTCATATTTGGATCATATATGTATGTGTATATATACATATATATGTATATGTACATATACATACATATATATAATCATCTGTCTATCTATCTATCTATCTATCTATCTATCTATCTATCTATCTATCTATCTATCTATCTATCTCTCTACCTACCTACCTACCTACCTACCTACCTACCTATCTATTCCAAGACAATATATCAGAAAGGGCTCAATGAAGTCCCCAGCTGGGGGTGATCTGTTCACAAGCTGAAAACACAATGAACTAGAAAAATGTGAATCAAGTAATAGAATCTAGTTATGAACAGTCCACTAAAAATGACAGGAAGAACCTCAATATCAGTCCACCTAAATTTATAAAAAGGAACAATTCTCAGGGACAAGACTAACCCCCAAAACCAGAGACATCCCTGATTTTCCCACATTCCAGTAGAGTTTAGAGAGGGGAGGGGCACCTAAAAATCAGATTGGGCCAATCAGAGAAGTTCAAATTGTCAAGGTTTTGATAAAGTCAGAGAGTGCTCAAAGCCAGGAGGCCATAGCTTGAGTTTAAAAATCAGTGGAATTCCTGATTCAACTTGGCAAATAAATAGAAATAACTTCTAACACCTCCAGGGGACTTAGTAGCAGTTTATATCTAGGGAGTGATGTTTCAGCCATTTTTTAGATGAGCCCTTTTTAAAGGCTAGAATAACCTGGTTACAATTTTACTGTTCTTTTAGAGGATTGCTGTATATTTTGCTAATGTCCTGGTTCTAATCGCATTAGGGGAGGTCATTTTAAGGCAAGCTGAATTCAACCCAGTTAACGAGGAAGTAATTATTCTAGGACACAAATGGTTTGGTTAAAAGCAAGCTAAAGCCTCATTAGGCAGTGGAGTAAGGGCCTTTGGGGTAGTGACCCTTGGCCTGGCCCCCTGAATGCGCCTGCTAGGTTCTGTACAGTGCAGACTTAAGGCAGGAAGACAGCCTTGTGAAGTGCTTTTAGCTAAACATCAGGTTGTTAGGTCACCTCCTTCTAGAATATTCTGACTAAAAAGAACATTTCCTTTTGCTAACTCACTGTCTAGAAGCAGTGGCATAGCTAAGCTTCATTTGCCCCTCTGTAATAGTTTAGCTGTTTTTCCATTAATTACAAAATGAATAGTTCTCAAGGCCCCACCCTGTGAAGCCCACGGAGTGGGGGGAGGGGAGGGTTGTTTCCTCCCCTAATTTGCAGCTGGCAGGACTGTGTTGTTGTGACTAATATTTTGCCTGTTCCTTCACTAGCATTTAAATGAATTCCTGGGACTCAAAAGGGCTCTCAACAATGGGCATTTTCTGTAAACTCAGAAACTCAGGTGGCAGTCTTATGTAAATGCAGCACTTGTTGATCCTCGGTGCTTTCTGAAACTGACCTTGGAGGAGTCAGGAGCCACTAAACAAATAAGAGTTTCGATGCAGGACTCAGCTGTCTGTTCTGAGTTGGACTTTGGGACTTTTGGCTCCTGGGAGAGAACTTTTTGGGTTCCTTACAGACTTCAATCTGTAACAGACATTTAGTCATTCACATGAGTTCTGTGACTTTTCTTTTTGGCACTTACCTAGGCATCCGTAACTTGTCAGTCAACTTGGACAATGGCAGACAATATTTATGTACAGATGCTGCAAACTCGTGTTTAAAAACTCACAATGCTGATTGCTTTCTCGTATGCTCTGAGTTAACCCAGACATATGACAGATTGGCTGGTGATAATGGAAACACATGTACAAACCCCACGACCCCCCAGTTCTGGGTGGGGTGGTTTGTATTAGAAGCCTCTTTTCTTACACAAAGCACTTTGCAGTGCTTTTCTCTTAACACTCAATGATGCTACATTAGGAGCCAGCAAGGAAGATAGAAATCACTCTTCTTTGGTGATGGTTGGTTTTGCATAATGGGCCGACCCTGTCTTTATGTAATTCTTATGTGGATTTGGGGCTGCACGGGGCTGAGTGTCTGAGGTTCCTTAGAAGAAAGAGGCAGGTGCAAAAGGCTGTTACAGACTTGACTCCTGCAAAGTTCTTGGAAACCCTGAGCAGGTGGGAGGCAAAACATTGTCCCAAGCTTGGAGTATTTAGAAAAATGCGCTGTGGGCGATATCTCAGTTCCCACAGGTAACTTAGATACCTGTTAAGCTAAGGCTGATCTTTGCAAAGTTATTGATTCATAAGGGGAAGAAAAGACTTGAGGGAAACATGCTAAAATGCTCTCAGTACCTATGTTGTTGGGGGTAATATTTGTCTCCTTTTATGTGTTTTCTAAATGCGCGATTACGTTTTACATTATGAAAGCAATAAAACACAGTTTTAAAACATCTTCCTTGGGCAGTGTGAGAACTAGGCACATCCTTTCCCAAACCCTAAGGACACTCAGCTCTGATGTACCCATGGGGTTTCCTTCCACAGGGCATCCTTGCTCCCACCCCAGGTTGGTGCAAGCTCAGTAGGCTGTGTTTGTGACTTCTTTCTTAGGACAAGGTGTCTCAGCTGGAGATGGAGCTGGAAGAAGAAAGAAACAACTCGGATTTGCTGTCTGAGCGTATCACTCGGAGCAGGGAACAGGTACTGTCCTGTGGTGGGATGGTGAGTGGCTTGTCCTGCACGAAAAAGGAAATGTGAGAGGTTAAACCTGAGAATCCAGCTGGAGGGGGGAAGAAAGTTCAAGCCTGAAGGGAATGATGGAAGATTGCATGGTCTCCACCATAGTAAGCTGCTAGGAGGGAGGTGTAATATATGACATCAGGTGTAAAGTGGAAGTTTCCAGAGTGGTTATGGATAACAATCTATTAGCCATAACAGGCAAAGTTTGTTTAGAGCTGATGCTCTAAGAATCATTAGTTCAGCAAGCAATTGTGTGAAATTTGGTAGCTAGCACTATGTTAGCGCAAATGGAAAGTAAATGATATGATGCAGTCTTTTACTATAAGGACTTTATAACCTAATTAGCAATATATAAACCTATGAGGCATTCACAGTACAATAACAGTACCTTCCAAGTGAATGCTTTTGGCAGTTTTGGAAGGCATTTCGCTTACATTTGATCCTTACAGCAATGCTGGGGGGCAGCCGGGAACAGTTCTTGCCATCCTCACACTGTGGGGAATGGAACTAATGTCTCAAACTACGCTAGTATAATCTCCAGGTTTTTAGATTTTGTTTCCATTTTTTAATTAAGGAAAAGTTCAGAGTGGTTAAGTCATATCCTGGGGATGAGGTGTCACATCACTAGAAATTGGTGGACTGTGAACTGATTGCTATGTCCCCAACAGCCTGAGAGATAGAATATGGAAACATTATGGGGCAAGGATTCAGAACACTCAGCCATAGTTATGAAGAGAACTTATATTCACTAATCTCAGCCCTTCATTTACGTGACACCCGTGGATACCTGTAGAAACCTGATGGCTGGACTGTCAGTGACAGCTTACTCAGTTGTATGCCTAGCTCCTGAAAATGGTGCCAGAGAAACCGTACATAGACATTTAAAAAGCTCTTCCCATCTCGATTTGCTTTGGGCACTTTCTAAATTAAACAATGCAAACAAAACCTAAAAGCCTTGGATGATGCTGCTGAGAAAAATTTAGGAAATTATCCGTTTAAAGGATGGATATAAAAAACCTGAATTACAAATTAATTTGGACAAAATCTTCCCTATCCAAAGAAGCACTTTCCTCTGGTCACTCTTCCACATTTTCATATTCACCACCTTCCCCTCAACTCAGGTGGACCAAGATTAATGTGGCCGGGGTGGGGGTAGGGACAGGAGAGGGGAGACCTGGAGGAAGCCGCAACCAGGCTGTTCTGGGGGACAGAGGACAGGAAGGGCAGTGTGAGACCAAACATCCTATCCTTTTCATGTTGTTTTTTTTTCTCTTTCTCATGCTCAGTAAATGCTGGCCACATTACCTGTGAGTTCCCAGCCTTTCTAATGTCTTTGTTTCCCAAATGTGCTCCAGCTATTATTACTCATACTGACAAATCCAGGGAATCCTAATTGAGAGACACATTTTTCAAACTTTTTTGGATGCTTGGATTTTTTTTTTCAACTCTGGCTAATGGGAAGGAGAAGGGATGGATTTGGATTTGATAAAATGATGTCTTCTTTTACAAAACAGAGGTGAGGAGTATTGTTTTCTCTCCCAAATATGGTTTCACCTTATACAGGGGGTTTCTGATTGACTTAAGATTGAAGGAAGAATCACTTAAATAGTGGGTATTTTACTGGCTTTGTTCTGTGTAAATCCAGAGAATCTTTTTTCCTCTCCTTCCAAAACCGTGTTTTCATTTATGATAATTGTCACCAATTATGAGGACTCCCCAGGTGTTGGGTGCTGTGCCTATGCCTTGCATAGGCTCTCAAGGGCTTGAGAGGCTAAGTGAAGGCCTAGAGTCACACAGCTTGTGATAGATGGAGCCATGATTTGACTCCAAAGCCTACTTCATCTCACCGAGTTCCACCGTCAGACTGTAAGAGTAAAGAGCCCCCCTCCCTGTACATTTGGGGCCTCTATTCTCAAGTTAAAAATAATGCCATGGTGTCTCTTAATATGGATGAGAATTTACATTCACCTGATTCTCTCCTGACTCGCCTCACGAGTCCAGGATTTAAATTACAAAAGAGAGGCCCAGCTTGATGTGTTTCAAATGCATCCGATGTTCTAGCTCCATGGGCAGTGCTGTGTCATTGCTGGCGGCTGAGTGCAAACAGTTAACAGTGGAACTGTGCCTAAATGGAGAGGTGTCCTCTTGGCCATGGAGCCCAGTGGAAAGACGACTCACCAACCCAGGCAGCTGGCAGGCAGGATGAAAAATACCAACTTGAGAGCTTCGAATGGCTTCATACATAGTCTTTCCAGGGGCCAATAGAGGCTGCTCTGTTGCCTTGGCAACTGTAGGCTCAATCCCAGTGGATAAAGTCTGGCCTTCTGCAGTCACTTGAAGGAACTGCTTCCCGGTGGCCACCTGACACCTGTTCCTCTGTCAGCACCAGGAGGATGCGAGCACCAGGAGGATGCGAGCACCAGCGTATGGGACTGGGAAATAGGGCTCCTTGTAGTCAGTGAGTGAGAGATCAAAATGGGATTTCTTTCTTTCTCTCTCCTTTCTTTTAATTAAAATTTACTAGTCTCAGAACTGCCTCCTGTTATTTCGGCTGTTCAAAACCCAATGTGTACGGTTGGTTAATAATTTTCTCATGGCTAAGTATCATTTTTAATACAAGCCAGGCGTGTAGGCTCACCACCTACACTTAAAGCCCAGTGGTAAACACAGGTGATGGGGTTAAATATTGTTATTAGCAATCATAAATATCTCTGGCTTTTCATTAACCCAGGAGGCAGCTGCTTCTAATCCTGAGAGCTGGCCCAGGCCATGGGTGCCTCTGACATAAAACCCAGTGGAATCTGATATTGTTATTTCTGATCAGAATGGTCAGGGCTTAGCATTCTTTTAGTCCAGCTGTGATAAACTGTTGCCTTCAGCTCCCGCTCTGTTTTTAATTCAACTGGAAAATTTTTGTTCAGTCTACTTAATTTGGCTAAAGGGTAAACAGCATGTAAAGTGCGAAGCTCATATAAAGAAATGTTTTCCCAGCCTCAGATTTACTTCCCTGGTCCAAAAGAGGAGGCTGGCCAAGCCAGAGTCTTTTTTTCCCTTGCCAGTGTGGGCTCAGGATAAGAAGGATCAGACCTGCCATAGTCCCAAGTCCCAGGGCCAGTCCTGGGGACGTGTATTGAGCACAGCCAAAACACTGCTGGTTCACGGTAAAGCCCATCCGTCAGAGCATTATCCATAATACCACGTGATAGTCCTTGTACAAGGCTTCACCTGGATTTCTTTTAGAATTTAGTGTCAGGCTGTTCTTATTGAAGAATGAAGGAAGCCTATTGTGTTTGCAAAAACCTTGGTTTCCAAAAGACTCAAGAAAAATTGTCCGGTCACAGTAACTGTTAGGTTTTATGGTCACACATGTGTTCCTTCCTGTTCTTCACTCTGATTTATGTTATACTTCCGTTTTCATAGCCATCTTTGAGGGGATGAGGTAGGGCAGAAATATTGTTTGTTTTGTTTTTTTCTTTGGAGAGTCATTATTTGCCTGGAGCTTTTTAGGGAGGTCATGAACCTGCAGAGGCCTCCTGGATGCTGCTTCCTGAGAGCCCCTTTTGGGGAGAGGGAGGGGGTCATTTCCTGGTGGGATTGAATTGGGGGAGCAAGACTTTGGCGTGGCTGCTCCTTTAAGTCGCAGAGTTTGTCCTGAATCCCAGCCTGGGCCCAGTGCAGCCTGACCGCCTGGCAGTCCTCAAAGCTCACCTCTGTGGACACATCTTCCTTCTGGGCTCCAAAGTCCTTGCCAGAACTACCCCTCCTTGTAGGATCTGCCCATAACTGAGAGTGCTGGTCCTTTGGCTTTGCTGAGAGAGAGAAAAGGAGCATATGATTTTCAGCCAGAAAACCTGGGTTAGAATCCCAAAGCTGCTTCCTTTGTTCCTGAACCTTCCACCTGGAAAGTGGGGGTGATCACATCTGCCTCAGAGACAGGAGGATTCATGGGCTCCTATGTGGACACTCATAGTCACTGAGTGCCTGTTGCCAGGACCTTTTGATTCTTGGTATTTCCCTCCTCGGTCCTCAGGCTGGAGCACAGCTGCAGAAGTCACCACCTGAACCCCTAAAAACAGATGCTGTACAGCTGCAACAAGACCCTTGCCTCATGTTCTGTGGGCCTTTTATTGTCTTTTGGCCTTACATCCCACAGCAACTAAATTTCTAAATTTCTTTCTCTGTGAGCCTCCAGTTCTTATTCCTATCACCGAATCGTGGTGAGGATTAAATGAGTAACACTATAAAACTGCGGAAGACTTCCTTTAGTAAGTGCAGTGCATACAGGTGTTCGCTGTTGTCATAATATTATCATGGGCCTTGTGTGCTGCTCCCTGTCTGCGTCTCCACCTCATCTCTTAACCTCTCCTTACTCCCCACATGTCTAATTCAGTCCTTTTAGTTCACCAGCAGCCCTTGCCTCTTTCTCACCTAGATCTGCAGTTCCCCTCCCACCCCTTTCTCTACCCTGCCTGACCCGGACCTCTCAGTTAGGTCCCAGGTTAGGGTCACTTTCTCTGGCGAATGTTCCTGGCCTTTAGTCTGGGCTGTGACCACTACTGTGCACCCTGCCCCAGCACTGCCCTTCCCCATTGTGGTAACACTGATCACCGGTACGGGACTTGTTCGTTTGTCCCCCGTGAGGTTGAGAGTGGGCACTTTGTCAGCCTTTTCGTCACAGTGCTCTAGGACTAATAGTATAGTCTGAACAAATGGACGAAACCACCCCATCATTCTAGGACCTCTCCCCCCTCCCCCCACCAGCATGCAAGCATCTGTGTTTACAAACACACACTCACTTTCACCTTGACAGAGTGGGTCTTTTCCAGGACACTCCTAAATGTCTAGAGACATGGGATGGCTGCGCTAACCTGAGGATGGAGGCAGGGGCCTCTGGCTTCCTCAGGAGGGGAGCTGCACAGCACCCCAAAAGGTGGAGGAGACCCAAAATGTGCTTTCACTGTGTCATAGGCCAGCTTCAAGGGCTCTTACAGGCTGTCTCTTTCAAGTTCCTTGTTTCAGACATGAGGAACCTGCCTCCCAGGGATGAGATGACCAAGGTCACTCGCTAGTGTACGCAGAGCCCGGAAGGGAGGCTGGGCCACTGCTGCTTGTCTGTGTAATTACTTCCCATCGCAGTGAAAGTTTAACCGTGTCCTCGGTGAAGTCCCGGCTCTGCCCAGGGAGCGTGAATGGAACACTTTCTCCTGGGAGGCACGTCATGGTCCCGTGGCCCAACCGTGCTGATGTCCTCCATGCACGGTGTCGTCGGCTGGTTCACAGCTGTGCTCAGAGAGGGGCTGTGAGCCTGCATTCATTACCCATGGACTTTGTGCTTGTACAGCAGTTATAGGAATCATTCCGGCGTGAGGGCTCGGGGCCAGAGTGGGAGGGGGCCGCAGGCGGAGTTTTATGTGCTCTGCCCGCTGACCCTTTGCATGGCTGGCATTTTTTCCCTGCTGCACACAGGATGCCCTAAGGAGACTGCCTACCTCTCTGGGTCTTGGTTTTTACGTGACAGCTGTATTTGAACCCTAGGTCTGTTAGAAGCCTTTTCACTGAGCTGGTCTAGAGAGAGCAGGTGGTGTAGTGGGCAGAAAGCAGTGGGTTCGCCGGGGTTCTAGTCCTGCTCCCTGCAGTTGTGTGTATAACTGCCCTGGGCCTCAGTGTCCTCCGCTGTACATTCTGAACCCCCATGATTTAGAAGTCTGATGGGCAGAAATGCAAAAATATAAGCGCTATTATTATTATTATTATTTGGGCCATACAGGTACCCGCTTCTGTGGGCAGAGTCCCAGCGTCCCCCTGTGGTATCCGAAGCTTCCGTGTCTGAGCTCTGCCCATCACCAGTCTCATGCCTTACCACTCCCTGTCACCCACTCTGGCCAGCCACGCCATGCTGCTTGTCATTTCCCGCACACACTGTGGTCAGGACAGGGGGAGATGGAGCAGATGCAAGCCTGGCCCCACGGGTCTTGCTGTCCTGGCAGGGAAGGGGTGAGCTTATCTTTTACTCACTAGAGTGCTTGTACAGGTGGTGAAAATCCAAGTGGAAGCCAGGCTGGGCGAGGCTGTTAAAATGTTCCCCAGGCATCCAGGGACTGCTATGTGTTACACTTCTTACCCAGGTTGGACCCCATCCTTAAGAAGGAAGGGGCAATTTTATTTTCCTGACTCACCTTCTCAGTCCCCCTGGCTCCTCTGGACAGCGCTGGGAACAGGGTCTGGGGCCTCTACCTCTGACGCTCACTTCACTGCAGCCGAAAGCCCAGTGGGGATGGAGAACAGAGATGCTGAAGGGTAGGTGACTGGATTTCTTCCCGAAGGATTCTGCTCAGTTAGGCTCATTTGCTATAAATATAGCAGTCATCCTCGGTAACATTTAGCCTCTACTGGGTCCCCTGGAGCTGCACAGTGTTCTTGTTGGCTTCTGTTTTTGGCATAAGAAGGGAGAAATCTGGAAGCCTCTTTGGAAGCCCTTTCAATAGTTTGAACTTGTAATTTAGGAGTCAGACGCTTAGGGGAATATTAGCTCCCCCTATTACTATTGGGTTGTCGGAAAAGTCATGATGCATTTTTGCAATGAAAAGCATAGAAAAAATACGTCATGACTTTTCCAACAACCCAATAGTTGTGTAGATCTTGGGAAAGTCGCTGGCTTGCCTGGGACTTTCCCAGTTTTAACATTGAAAGTCCTGCGTCCTCAGCACATCCTTGGTCCGGGGCAAGCTGGGATGGTTGGTCACCGTACAACTTGGCTGACTTCTCCAAACAGTAATGTCCTCAGCAGAGACAGTATTACCTACTTCCCAGGGTTATTCTGGGTGTAATAGGATAGTGCATGTGGAGGGCTAAGCAGGTGTATCAGTTTTTAGAGCTGCTGTAACGAAGTACCACAAACTGGGTGGCCAGGAACAACAGAAGTTTATTGTCTCAGTTCTGGAGGCCAGAGTCTGAAATGAACGTGTCATTAGAGCCGCCCTCCCTCTGGACCTGGAGGAGAGTCCTTCCTTGCTGCTTTCTCGCTCCTGGCAACCTTTGCCAGCTCTTGATTTGTAGATGCCTCACTGCAGCTCCGTCTTCACGTGGCGTTCTCCTTGTGTCTGTGTCTTCACATGACCTCCGTCTTCCCTATGTGCATGCCTGTCTCTGCATCCAAGTTTCCCCTTTTTATAAGGACCCCAATTATACAGGATTAGGGCCCACCTCATTTTTACTTGATTACCTCTGTAAAGACCGTATTTCCAAAGGTCATCTGTGAGGCACTAGGGTGGGAGGTAGGGCATCAATGTATCTTTCTGGGGAGAGGGGTAGACCCAGCTCAACTCATAATAGCAGGGTTAGCTATGACTACTATTGTTATTTGTAACATTATCTTTGCAATCATCAAGAAACCAAGAATATTTAAGAAATAGCTCCTGCACCCAAGAGGAATGATGGCAGGAGGCCCCCCGTCATGAAGAGGAACTGATCTGATGATTGGAATTCAGTCTCTGGAACCATTTCATCACAAAGTATATAGGAAAATCCCTGTAACCCCTGGGTTTTGCTCTGTTTGGTGTAGATGGAGCAGATGAGGAGTGAGCTACTTCAGGAGAGAGCTCTGAGGCAAGACTTGGAGTGTGACAAGATTTCCCTGGAAAGACAGGTGAGAGCACCTGGCCCCATGAACCCCTCCTCCCCTCCCTCCTCATGGCTTGGGACTAGAAGCCCTCGGTGGTACCTCCTTTGTGTAGCACCCCAAGAACTCTGGGGTGTACCTCACCTGAGAGAGGTATTTATAAGACCTTTCCCTGAGAGTATTTTCCCAATAATATTAAATATGCTTGGAAGTTTAGCAGCTAGGGGAAGTGGAATTAACTATAAGTGTTATCTTCCAGATCCTAAGGCAGGCTAAATTCTAACGTAAAGGGAATAATAAAGAACCAGTGTCACCAAATACATAAATTGCTAACAAAGCTTACTTGAATTATTATTTCTTTTACATGCTATTCATGTAAGTTCTTCAATGAATATGACATATGATATTGGTGAAGGAGCCCATTTTTCCTGCCAATAGGTTTATGAAAAGCCAAGGCCATTTGATTACCAAGAATCCTAGGCCATGGCAAAGATTTCATTCAAGCTTATAAGGGAACGTGATAGGATCTGTTTTTTCGACTTGCCAGGGCTGGGGTGAAAGGCCTTTCCCTGGAAACATCCCTGGCTTCCCCAGGTCCTCCGAGGCCACCCATCTTGGTGTAGAAAGCAGGCTCATCAGTCCCTGACCAAATGTTGGCTCCACCTGTACTCTGCATGGAGAGTGTGGCACACACACAGCCCTCAGAGTCTCCCTGTCTGATTCTAGAACAAGGACCTAAAGAGCCGGATTATCCACCTGGAAGGTTCCTACAGGTCCAGCAAAGAGGGGCTGGTGGTGCAGATGGAGGCCAGGATTATGGAGCTGGAGGACCGTCTGGAGAGTGAGGAGAGGTGAGCCCAGCCCAGCTGTGGCGCAGAGGCCTGGCGGGCAGTGACAATCACAATACAGAGTGCTTTCACACTTGCATCTCTTCCCATCCTCATAAGCCTTCAAGTGAGGAGGGCAGAGCAAGTACAGCCTTGCTGTTTTTATTTCCATTTTACAGGTGGGAAAACTGAGACCCATCTCAGTCAGTACTTGAGGAAGGTAGCCTGGTTGAATGTAGGTGTAGCTGGAGTAAAACTTAGCACTCCTCCCCTTAGTCCATAGCTTTCCCACGGTACTTGCTGCTGCTTTCCGCATCCCCTCTATAGGACAGGCTGCCTCATAAGCTACTGAGTTTGAGCTGGATAGAGGTGAGGGGCTGACTCTGCCCTGGGAGCCAAGTGTCTTCACTCTGCTTAGCAGAGGCCGAGTGGCCATCTGTCAGAGATGGGCAGGTTCCCCCACAATGGGTGAGAGGGACACAGGATCAGATGACCACATCCTTCCAACATGACGATTCTTTGCAGCTAGCTCTCAAGTTGCAGCCCAAGGGCCAGCGCCAGGTTGAATGGAACCAGTCTCAGTTCTTCAGTTCTTGCTTGTGGCCCCTCTCCTTCCTAGAAGAAGCATGGGTGTGCACACATGTGCATAAGACATTTCACATTATCCGTTTTCAGTAGGACTTTTGGGGGCTGGGCTGGAGCCGCCGGGAATAGACCTCAAATGTTCATATCTGGCAGTCTGTGACCCTCTGCCCTAAGGGGTGAAGCTCAGGATGGGCAGAACCCAGGGCAGGCCTAGTCCCAGCTCAGCCCGTTGCTGGCTCTGCATCCTGGGGCAAGTCCCTCCCCTTCTCGGAGCCCCTGTTTCCTCACCTGCCCAATGGGCCACCCTTTCCTCCTGCACAGTTGAGTGGACCAGGCCGTCCTGGCTGGGGCTCCTCCTCCTCCACAGCCTGTCCTTGGTTCTGCTTTCCCCCATCCTTCCAGGGACCGGGCCAGCCTCCAACTCAGCAACCGACGGCTGGAGCGGAAGGTGAAGGAGCTGGTGATGCAGGTGGACGACGAGCACCTGTCGCTGACTGACCAGAAAGACCAGGTGAGGGACCCTCTGCAAGTTCATTCTCAGATGAGACTACAAGTCCCAGGCTGAGGAAGCAGGACGGTGGCAAGGCCTCCGCAGGCAGGCAGCGGACTTGGGGTGGACTGATTCCTGTCTTTCCACTCTACCCGGTTGCATCATGGAATGGGGCCTTTCTTGGAGGCCTTAATAGGAGGTTTCAGCAAACTTCAAACCCTGGACTTGGCTTGTGAAAAGTGGACTTGTCTGTCATAGACTCCTATTGCCGTTTTCCCATGAGACTGGTTGCCCCCCTTTGTGTGTGTGTCTTGGTTGCCTGGAGAGAAGGTGGCTGGACCGCTGACCCCTCCATGCTGGGGCTGTCTTTCATCCCAGCGAGGCTGGGCGACCATCCAGCACTAACCTGCTCTTTCCCCCAACGCAGCTGAGCTTACGCTTGAAAGCAATGAAGCGACAGGTGGAGGAGGCTGAGGAGGAAATCGACAGACTGGAAAGCTCTAAGAAGAAGCTGCAGCGGGAGCTGGAGGAGCAGATGGACGTGAATGAGCAGCTGCAGGGACAGCTCAACTCCATGAAGAAGGACTTAAGGTGGGCGTTTCGGAAACCCCACAGAGGGGAGCTTGATGGTTTCAGGGCTCCCTCAAGCCAGTTTCTTACTATTGCCTTTTGGAGATCACCCCATATAGAGACAAGAGTGGCTGTCACCCCAGTCACTCCACGTGCTCTGTAGGGTCTCACCTGTCTCCCTCATACCAATGCCTCAGTGTCATCAGGCAGGTTCTATCCCTGCTGACCATAAGGGAGCACTGAGACCAGCGCAGGTGAGACTAGCTCACACCACCATGGAGGGGCAGCTCCTGGGTCAGCCGTTAGCATGCCTGCTTTTATATGACTTAGGGAGACATATGATAAAGTTTTGGTTCATATCTCCGTGAGGACTGGGATATCTAGTTTCAGGAGAGAGCTGCCTCTAAAGCTCCCCACTGTGGGCCGAAGGGGACAGGGTGGGGGGACGGCGATTTTCCTCGCCCAGGGTCACTGCCTAGGGCATTGGGGTGAGGGGGTGGGTTAGGTCCATGTTCATCCATGGAGCTGAGTCTGTTTTGGAGGCTGACTATGCTGGCAGCACATGAAATTCTCTTATAAATAGGCACAAAACTCTAGCCCATTGAGAATCCTATGAACGCAGCCTGTCAATTGAGCACCTGGCTCCAGGGCTGGCATCAGGGTGCAACATTTAAGCGGGCACCAAAACTTTCAGTGATCAAGACAGATAATATTTAATGCACTATTTTTAAAAATGCAGAAAAATCCATGGTGAACAAAATATGAAAATTTTCAACTAAGACGGGCTCAATGACAGCACCCTGATGACAGCATCCAGGGCTTAAGGCAAAAGGAAAACTCAGCACTACTGATCTTGCCCCAACTCCCTGCCAACACTGGCCTCCATGCTCAGAGATGGGCATTAGCTTGCTGTTGCTCAAGGAATGGGCAGGTGCAGACCAGTTAAGTTCACACACTTCCTGCCATTCAGTGGGGTAGAGAGACAGGCACCCGAGAGCCTGCCTTTGCCTCCAGATCAGAGGTGAGCCCCAGTCCAGGGCCAGAAATCATGCCGGTGTTGTTTCAGCAGACTGAAGAAGCTGCCCAGTAAAGTGCTGGATGACATGGATGACGACGACGACCTCAGCACCGATGGGGGCAGCCTGTACGAGGCGCCGCTGAGCTACACCTTTCCCAAGGACGCCGCCAGCCAGATCTGAGCCCACTCCCGAGGCTGTGGAGGTGGCCTGTCATCCTTCACAGGGACCCAACGCCACCTGCAGCAGGACGCAGGAAAAGCAGCGCCCACCTGGAGCCGAGACCCGTCGCCGTCCCTTCTTCACATAACCAGCCGATGCCTTCACGCTCCCTCCTTCCTCCGATCTCTGAATGGGAGCACCGCTCTCGTATCCTAGACAGGGAGTTACTGCGGTTTAAATGTTGAGACGCCTGAGGCCTGGGAGCCACCACTCATTGGGGTGTTTTGGAAAATAATTTGGCAGGCTGAGTCCTTTCTGCACAGCTGTCTGCCAGACCATTTGTATTGCTGCTGCTGCTCCCACCACCCTCCCCGTCAGGAAGAAAGGTCCAACATGCTAGTTCGCGTTTAACAGCCACTGTGCAGGGGGCCAGGGATGTATACAGGCTGTACATAGGTTAAACCAGACCTTTTCATGGCTGCTGCTGTTCCATTTTGGAATGTTACAAAGGCTGCCTAGGGTGGTTTGTTTGTCAAGTTCACACATCTACATAGAGCATTATTTTTTAAAACATGATACTCCTAGATTTTAAATATTAAGGAGCGGAAGCAAGAGAGGGAAAGGAGAATAATGATCACTTTGGACATCAGAGTTGGAAAAAAGGAATTGTCATGGTGATAAAGGGACAGTTAACCCTGAGACAAGAAATTCAAGTGGTCTTGGTAAGCAGCTTGCTGGTGGAAACAGAGTCAAAAGGCCACTTTGTATCTGTGGCCTTGGTTGCTTATTTTATCTAGAATTTTGTTCTAACTTTTGAACCGTACTGAGACCAATTTTCAGTCACCAATTGCAATTTCTTTTACACAGGGGTTGGGGAGACTTGTAGTACGGTTTTTGACAAATGGTGTGGTTTCTGGAAGGACGTGGCCCTCCTATCATTTCTGATTGGTTCTTTCCTCCCACAGCGGGCCTCTGGACTGGGCTCTTCTGGCCCCAGGATAGGGTGGCTCCTGGGTGAGGAATAGCAGGGTATGGGGACAAGGCTCATGGACGTAGGGGTGTAGAAGAGGCAGGAAGTGTCCAGTCAGGTCGGTGGGAAAGGGAGAAGGAAGAAGAAATAAGCAGGTGTGTGTGGGGGTGTGGCAAGAAAGAGGAAGAAGGTCTTGAAAGCTGGGGGGGATGTGTAGACAAGAGGTGGATTGAGCAGGATCTCAGGTTTATTTCAGGAAAAGGAAGCAAGAAACGGAAGTCAGACAGAGGTATGTCTGTGCAAACTGGAAGGCTCCTTCCGACTCCTGGGACAGAGGGACATCGGCAGCACCAGGCAAAAAGTAACTGGGATTGGGTGATATCTGAGGCAGGGTCACGTCGCAGGGACAGAATTCCAGGGAACATGGCATTGGGAGGATGCGGGGTATCCTGGCACTGCCTCCTGGCCTTCTTGGTGTCCCCTCCCACTGTGACAGTCCTCAGGCATGCCCAGAGGCCAGGTCCAATCACAGCGGGGCTCCCATAGGTCAGGGCCAGGTAGAGACCCCTGTGAGTTTTCAACTTGTGTGGGGCAGAGATGACAGTGTTAGCTGCTTCAGTAGTGTTCCCAAGCATCCTAATAGATGGGATGGGATGTGGACCTGAGAACTCCGTGACGGTTGCCATGGAGGATCACAGAATCTCAGTGCCCTACCTCCCCCAGATCACAGAGCCCACAAAACAGGATTCAGAGTGTGAGCCTGGTTTAACGGCAAGTCCCCTGGAGTGGGAGAGCCAACCCCTCCTCCACCTCTGCAGGTGGAGTGGTTCATGCCTCGGCTTACTTATTTGAGCTGTGGAAAGATTCCTCCCTTTAGCCATCCATTCATTTTGCAAACATTTATTGGGCATCTACGTTGTGTCAGACATGGTCCCTGGCAGTGGGAATACAGCAGTGAATGAAGTGGATCAAAGTCTTTCCCCTCCTGGAGCACAGCCAGGGGCAAGTGGGTGTTAGGTAACAGCCATACAAATGGACACAGTGGCTGAGCTGAGCCCCTCCGTACCCAGTCCCGGAGCCCCTCTGTCTTCGTGGGGATGCAGCAATCATGTGGTTGGTTGACTGGCTCACCGGAACTTCCACGATTTCTTTGACCCTCAAAATGTTTTTGATCTCCCTGCTGCTTCCACCATCATTAAATATTTGCCAAGAAGCCTGCATAATTATGCCCCAGCCCACTCATAACTACAGCTGGGAGACGAGAAAGGTCTTAGGCCCAAGAACTTGGAGAGTGAGTGAGTGTGTTTGTTCGTGAGAAAGTCCCAGTTTCGTTCTGGCCAGTTCCCTCTGGCACCTTGAGGCTGGCTGCAGGAAGCAAAGCTGCCCGTGAAAAAAGAACGAAATCACCACTCAGAAGAGTTGGATCCTTACCCTAAAAATGGGCTGTTTTTAAATGTCATCCTACGTGGTACTAGAGCTGGCAGTGAGCTAGATGCATGCAGTATAGCTTTGGAGTGGGAAGAACACTGGACTGGGAGTTGAAAGAGAGATTTTCAAATCTTGGTTCATCTTATCCCGGTGACTTTGACGGGGCACATGCTGTCAGAGCCACAGATTGCCCAGAATAAATGACCAGGGCCCAAGGTCCTTTTCAGCTCTGACATGTTCTCATTATTTGATTTTATTATATACACATATTTTTTTTCTGTTTGTTGCTTTAAGAACTAACCCTACTCAAGAATATTTTCTTTAGCTAGCTTAAAAAGAAAAAAAAATTATTTAATAAACAGATATGTGGCCAAATGCAATGCTGAGAAGACAATCATCATATATCTTTATAATTTTTTCCCTGTTTTCAAGTATCATTTGACAATGCCAATAGGCTTATTCTGTTGGGTTTCTGCTTTCGGGTATGATTTGATTGCTTTGGTTTGTCATGGGGAAGAGACGTTCTTATGCAGCTACCTCCATGTAAGTGAACTCCTGGGTAAAGCAAGATTGCCTTTCAATAAACAGTGTCACCCAACATGAATGTTGACTCCTCCATTATTTTGACTCCCTTGCTTTCTCCCGAGCTTGGCTCTGTGTCTACCGAGAATAAGCCAAGGCGAATGACTGGACGCTACCTGAGGAAGTGGAATGTGGGGGCTCTCCAGGCCTGAGACCAGTTTCTGAAATAGAAGGGTGGGGTGTGGCTCAGTGGTGAACACTGAGAGAATTAGTGCATCTGGATGGTTGTGATGTTCTGAGAAACACGACCTGCCCATTTCCAGAAAATGGCAAAAGGGGAAGTATGTCAGTAACAGAATAAACAGGCACCCCCTGTTTATTCCTTGTTTCTAAACTAAAATGGGTTCTCTTGTAATCATAGCTTGCACATTATCTCTCCTGATCTACAGCAGGTACCAGGGTCTCCATTTCATAGGAAACGAAAGTTGCTGCTCTACAGAAGGCACCCTATAGTGTTTATTCTTTGTCCTCAGACTCTTTCCCTCCCCCTTCTCTGGAGGCGGATCCCTGCAGGCCGTGGGTGCCCTCCATGCCCCGTGAGCGCTCTGGTTGGGGTCAGCTGATAAGAGCAGATGGAGGTCGGCTGTCACTGCCCACTGCCTCCCAGATGCCCCCAGTCACCCTGAATCCCTGACTGCAGCCCTTGACTCCTCTTATTCTGAATAAATGGAACATCTCAGATATAAGTGAGATTTTTCTAGTTTTAATAAGTCCTCCAAACCTTTGCATAAATTCTGTTTGCTTTTATTTTTAAAGGCAAGCTTATTGAGGTATCATTTCATCATTTGTAGTAAAAGGTACCCTTTTTTGGTATTATTTGCTTTTGAAACTGTATTTAGGCCTCTTTCTTTGGCCCCTCGGCTGGGGTCCTCGTGGTGGGAACGAGCATTCTCAGGGGTTACCTCTCCTCAAGCCCACGGGAGGAATGTGACCCAGGAGCCCAGAGCCAAAGGGAAAGGGTCCTTCCAGGCCTGCAGCTTCGTCCTCCACATTCTTGGCATTCCTTCTTTGAACTTGAGGATCGTTACAATGATCCTGTCTTTGTTGGAGACAGTCATTAGCCAGAAAATTTTGTGTTCTAAGTTTTCACATGATAGGGAAAAATGACTCGGTGACAAGTTCCTATCAGGGTCTTAACAGCCCTTAGATCCAGAAATTCCAGGCTTTGCAGAAGGATCAGCCTGATTTGGTCCTGCTGTCAATCAGACCTGCTGAACACACGGTACTGAAAATCACTGCTGGCATTCACGTGCATGATCAGAGGCCCAGCCTGTCTCCATCAGCAAAGCAAGATTTGAGAGTGTGCCCATGTTGGGTTTATTAAGGCTGGAAGATGCGTAGTGCAGTTCCAAAAGACATTCAGCAACAGTACCTATTCTATGGGGGGAAGTTTGCAAGTTTCCCACCGTGCAAATGTCACTTGGCCTCATAACAGATTGTCAACAACTCCTTGGGGGTGGGAGCATGATTCCAGAGGTTTTCTGGGTAAACAGAATTAAACAATTTTAGGAGAAAAGCAGAAACTTTGCCAGGTAGGGAACCTGAGGCTTGGAAAGTTGGGTATTTTGCCGTAGGTCACATCTGGAGTGAGCAGCCAGCCCATGAGTAAAACCTGCCAGTGTGCCAGGTGCTGCGGCAGATAGAAGGTTGAAGCCACAGCCTAGGACCTTTAGGAACATGCAGTGTAATTACAAAAATGGTGATTATTAGACTAGGTGGAAATTAGATGTAAATATTAAGTCCTTCATATATTTATGGCACACCAGATTTGTCTATTTTTCTTTGAGCTTGGCTAGCCCACTATCTATAGTCAGTACCTCTTCCTGAGCCCATGTACAATTCAGTAGCTAACAGGTGATGAGCACTTACCTGCCACATGTCTGGCATTGTTCTAAACCTTTTACATGTGTCGACCCACTTGATCCTTGTGACCACCCCCTGAGCAGGTGCTGTTGTGACAAGTGAGGCAGCCCAGGCAGAGGGAGTTACTAACCCGCTCAAGGGCACATGGTGGGAGGTGGAGGAGCCCGGATTGGAGTCTGAGTCTGGTTTTGCAGTTCGTACTCTGCACCAGGAAGCTCTGCTACCTCATATCCTGGAGGACAAAGTTCTGCCTGTCATTGGATCCTGTATTAGAGACTCCTGAGGCCTCCTGATCCTTCCCCTGTCAGACCTCCCCTTTAATCTTGGGTTTCGATGCAGCTCAGCAGCCTGCGGTCTGCCTCCACTCTGAGCGCTGCAATCAAAGGCAGATGGAAATCGACATTAACCTTTGAAGCCATAGACCTGAGGGACATGGCTGTCGCAGGTTTTTAGCTGCCCTTCTAACCTAGCTGTCTTTGGTGCCACTGGTTGCTATGCTGTTTGGATCTCTCATTTTTTACCTTCAATGCTCCCTTGGTGTTGTGCTAACCTGACTCGTCTGGGCCTGAGCTTGGCGGGGTGGCTGCTCTGCGTGGTCATCGGGCCTTCTCGCTGTAGAGAAGGTGGTCTTTGGGCAACATCAGCAAGTCCCCAGGTTGGGTGGTTCTCAGGGAATATTTACCTTCCCAACCTCCAAACTATTTTGCGATGAGAACCTTCCTCTAGAACAGTATATGACAATAATGATGTTCAC